CTGTTGTTCAGCATCTTAGCTGTGGAGGGCAGTGTCACTGGCCCTCATATGTGGGATCCGAACCGGGGCCCTCTAGCATTCCAAGCGAGTTCTTAACCATCGCACCACTCGGCCGGCCCCCTCACTCTCATTTTATAAAATAATTTTATTTTATACTCCTACATAAATGTTTCATTATGACCAAGACCCTTAGACTCACTTGCCATAGTTTTTCAGAGCATCACATTTTCACTTCTAAGTTGAATGAAATATAAGATTTCTAATATATATTTTATGGAGTCACTGCAAATATTATCTCATTTACAAGTCCTAATTATCATAACCTTGGACTACTGTCATTTCACTTGTCCACCAAGCAATGGTCCTTTAGGTGCAAATTCATGATCTTCACAACATAACTAGTGCACTGTTTTTAAAAATGATCTTTAAAAGGCTTGTTAAGTAACATTCAACTGTTGCAATTATAAGGCCATTCTTTTAAGGATAATTACTAAATCGATGCAAAAATTTTTTGGCTTTTATGTTATGGACTCATCTGATCATCTTTGTAATTATCCAGCATTAACACTGCTGATAGTCACTTTAGTTAAAACGTGCTTCCCCAAGTGATGATGCTTTGTAGAATAAAACAAAATAATTAAGCAGACACCTTTAAATAGACTTTCTAAAGCCTTGAATGTATGCATCTTTTGTATATATCCTTGAACATGTTTTTCTTTTCTTAGGGGTCATAGTTTTTCCTGGAAGAAAACCTTAAATTTATAACAATTCATGAATTCTTTACCATAGCCTCCACTCTAGCAAAACTTAATATTCTGTCTCCTAAACTGGTCCTCTCGTGCTTTCCTGTCAGCTCTCCCTTGTTTACCTGTTTGTTCTACCCTGGAATGTTCTTCTCCCAACCACATTTTGTTTATTCAAATCTTATTCTTCTTTAGAGCCCTCTTCAAAATTTCCAGTCTTTACTCTCAGATGAAAGTAATTTCTCCTTCCTCTGAGTTACTACATTACCAACTATTGGGTTGTCGGAAAAGTCATGACCATTTTTGCAACGAAAAACACAGAAAAAATACGTCATGACTTTTTGAACCCAATATTTATATATCAGAGTTTTTATTTATTGTTCATCATTAGTTTTTAAATGTCTTATCTCATCATTAGATCAGAAATTTTCATGGAAGGTGTTAACATATTAGAATCACAGGGATGAAGGTGGGAAATACAGTACTGAAATAGCCTCAGGATTTATCTAATTTATCTAAACCCATGCCCTTACTTCATTCTTGAATGTACTCTAATATATTCCCTTCGAGTATGTGAGCACTAATAGTATCAGAAAACATACAAATTCCCAACACAATGCATTCCATTTTCAAAAGGTCCTTAACTGCTATAAAGTTACTTTTCATGAAAAGTTGAAATCTAACTCTATGTAAAACTACCAACTTCAGCCCTCTAGGACAGTGCTATGCAATAGAATTAAAATGCAAGCCACATAGTAAAATTTTAATGTGGCTACCAGCACATTTAAAAAGTTAAAAGAAATAAATGGAACTAATTTTAATAAATATATTTTATTTAACTCAACCTAATATATTATTCCAATACGTAATGAGATATTTTATTGTCTTTTTTTAATACTAAGTTTTTCAACTTAGTATGTATTTATTGTAATTAATCACTTAAGCCGGTGTGTATTACACTTTATATAGTATGGCACTTCTCAATTCCGATAAGCTACATGTGAAGCACTCAATAACCACCTGTGGTTAGTGGCTACCATAATGGACAGCCATTACACAGGCTTAATCACTTTTACATCTAATAGTTCTACAAGTATTTAAAAACAGGTTTTAAACCGAGGCTAACCATTCCCAATTACTTTAACCACTGTCCATAAAACATGTTTTCAAGTCCTTTCAAAACTGAGGCTGGGCCTACAAAATTGTCTCTTGGTTATTATATTTAAACAGTAAAAACAATTTATTTAAATTGAATTAAACACTATCACAGTGATTTGTCAAGTTCCTGCCAATGTTGGATTATTTCAATAATTCTCCCAATAATTCTCCCAACTTTTTAAGATATAAGTGAGTAGTACAATGGACACCTATATGTATTATGCTGAACCACTTAAAAGTATATTGCAGACTACATGACATCATCCCTAAATATTTTAGCAAGTACGGTATCTCCTAAGAAAAAACAATAGTTTCTTACCTGACCATATTATCATTATTATACCAAAATAATTTTAAATGAATAAAACAGTATCTACTGTACAATCCATATACAAATTTCCCTGATTGTCCCGGTAATATCCTTTGTGGTTTAAAAAATGTTTTGTTTTTTTTTATTTAGGAAATTGAATCGATGACCACACATTGTGTTTAGTTGTCATTCCTCTTTAATCTCTTAATTTAAACTGTTTTTCTTTTTGTTTTTCGTGAGCTAAGTGCTATTTACATAAAAAATTTAGTATTAAAAATAATTCCAGCTTCATTAGAATTAGTAGTTAACCTGACTTCCCTTTCTGGTCTTTTTCTAGTCTCACAAATTTTCCCTCCAGACTTTTCACTCAGGTCCCTTTATAAAAGTAATTTACAGACTCTCAAAGGAAAAAACCCACAATGGAACACGAAATTGTCTACTATATGTATCTACTTTGCTGTACTTTCCATGTTAAATTCATAGTGTTTTAGTCATATTAGATATAAATTATGTTTTAAAAGAATGTATACCAACAATTGCAATCTGCCAGACCATCTGTATTATTTTAATAATTCTCTGTAATTTTTGACACAGTTTCTATTTTAGTATAAAAACATGGCACAACTAAAGTTTGACATATTTTACTCAAAATAAAAAAACATTAAGATTAGGTAATTAAAATAATTGTGACAGTTAAAAAGACTTTTTAATGAAGGTAATCCCTTCAAATATCCAAGAATCAAGTCCAAAATATGTTATAAACCCACATTAATAATGCTTTGCTGATGTAGATACAGGTAATTTTTAACCACAAAATCCTGTAGTATAAAAGAACAATGATATGTTAATTAATCATAACAAATGATCTGTTAATGAAAGATATGTCCTTCCAGAACAGGGATTTTTTAAAAATTGTAATTGAGGATGTACTGGGCGTAGTCTAAGATGTATTAGAATGCTAGCTTAGCAAATGATTATAATAGAATGCCAAATTGCCTGCATCCTTTTATGATCCAAATCCTTTCAGAAATCACTGAATTGAGAACTTAATCTGCCATTAATTCTTTCTGTCTGATTTTTTTTTACAATAGCATTACCCTTTAATATGTCAGCAATTAATTATGTCTCTAAGTGGTATTTTCTTAAAACAAAACTCTTCCCCCCCCCAAATTAATTTAATCTTTATTCATATGTCAGAGATATTTCTAGGATTCAGTATGCATCTCTACTTGCTTTTTAGAGAATCTGCCACATTTATCCTACGAATTCTGAACTGGGCTTATAAACTAAGTTTTACTATCTTCATCTCTCCTTGACTCGAATCTCTTTTACTGTCTTGGCTCTTCCATAGATAGTTGAATTCATTAGGTCCCTTTCAGTCACAGGAATTTCACTGCTGCCACAAATACACATATCATAGTCATATAATTTCAGTAAAAATTATACTTCATGCCTCTGCCTTTTGCCCTTCAAACAATCCATAAAATCACCAATTTTTGAAAATAATAAAGATACCTAATGAAGAGTAACATTATTTTCAAATTTTAGAGATATCTGAAAAGCCCCAGTGTTATTTACCTTTTTAACTGCTGCTATGAAAATTTCAAAATACTCCTTTCTGGCCAACACTCCCGTCATTTCAATTTATCATTGATTCAAATACTGTTTAAAGTCGGGTGCTTTATATAAGCAAATAAAACAGTTCAGTCGTTCCCAAATTATGAATGACTTTCTTAAATTTTTACAACATATTTCATGGAAATCAGTTTGTATCATCACTGTAAAAACTTATGTGAAAGGTGGTTATCAGATACCTCGGTTCACCCTCAAAAGCTGTCTTAATTGTAATGTAGCTCAAGTGTTACAACTCTGAATACATTGTTTCTACCCTTTCTAATAAATCCAAGGTGTTCAGCAGACCACGAGAATTCCCTTTTAAGACACACAGGGAGAAGGAAAAAATGATTTTGTCCAGGTACAGAAGGCACTGGGTGAGCAAAGGATGGGTCCTCCATCTTATGAAGAAGGTAGGACATTGAAAGTATGGCACATCCTACGTGGTCTACAATGGCAGTCCATCAGTATTTGAATTCTCTGAACACTGTGGCAAGAGAGTTCTAAGTTTTTTAAACTTTAAAAGTGTAAAAATATTTGGTCAAACTTCCTAAAATATGGTGAAGGGTAGAATATAAAATAATCATCTAATTTGATTTCTTTTTATAGTAACTTAAGTATTCTAAATCCTTTGCAATTAAGTGTCATCTACAAAGATTCTTGATAACTTTAAATCAGTTGTTCAAAAGGATTATATGAAATAATATCCTTAGATTATCAGCTGTCTCTACTATATTAAAATTAAGGACAAGTAAATACAAATAAATTATTGCCTTATCTTTTAAAAAATTTGTTTTTAAAACTATACATTCCCAAAGTCTTTTAAAAAAATTGTTTTTAAAACTATACATTCCCAAAGAGTCAGGTGGTAGAAGAAGAATGGGAAAGCAAAAAGATTGGGCTAGAAATAAGAGGGGTCTCTAAATGGCAGAGGGTATAAAACACAAAAAAGTTGGTGCCCTAAAGTGACATTATTTCCTATATAATCTGAACTTCAAAATACTTACTGTACTTGCTCCAGAGATATGATAAATCAAAATCACAAGTTGCATCCATCCTTTCCATTCATCTGTTTGTTCTCTATTTAATACTTTAGTCTGTGTAAAGAACCAAAATCTATTTTAAAATTCCCCATAAAGCTATTATTTGGACAGTATATATTAAGTATATTAAAACTGTTCCAAAAGAATGTAAAGCTAATGCTTTTGTCAGAAGATCCTTAGGGGGAGAACCAGTTAAATAAAGGCTGTTGTCATTTTATTTCTTGATAAAAGACACAATAAAACTATTTAAAATATAAATTTGAAAACTAATATAAACTAAAAGGTTTTAAATAGTAATTCAGTAGATACGTTTTCTATTAAGATTACATTTAAACTATGACATGTGCTTGTAAATGAAAAAATGGCATTTTATAATTTTCATTAAGAAAATCTTAGAATTTCAGTTAGAAAAGATCTTACAGTTCTCTTATACTCTATTGTTAAAAAAAAAAAACACCAAAAAAATACCTCTATTATTATAGTTTATTTTCCCTAGGATACTCTCACTGGAGATGAAGAACTGATTAATCATCCTCATATGAGTTATTTCTTACAATAGAATTTATTAATGCAAATAAATCACGCCTTATAAAGGAGTTACACTAATATTCTGAGCAATTACAGCAATGCTAAAATAGGAAATTCAGAATATTGCAAATAGTGACCACATTATTAAGTTCTAATTTATGTGTGTGTATATGTCTGACTGTATAAATATGTAAATATAAAATGTGTTTGTGCACACAGGCATTTATTAATATATTTTTTTACTTTATAAAAGAGAACAGTATCTCATGTTTGAAGACCATTATAAAATTCCCCTCTGCTTTCTCCATCTCCATGCAGACACAATAACACTAAGCCATGACATCTTTTTCACAGCTCATGATTTTCCAACTTTTAAACAATCTTCACGAGGCTCTTTGAACTTCCTCCAAACTGTTTCAAAAAAGCAACAGCGAGTCCACTTAGAAAAGTACAACCACAATATTCCTTTGTCCTCTGCTATATACATGCATGTATATTCTGACATGGTATTTTTTTAAATCTAGAGTTTGTAATGAGATAAGAAGGATAAAAAGAGCTAAAAAGAAAATGACTCTTACCTCTTTAGTATTTTCATTGTAAAATACTCCCAAAACCAAGATGTAGATAATTGGAATAAAAAAAGTTGAATGTGTATAAAATTTGTTTTCCTTCATAAATAGATTCGCACGGTCACACATATAGAAATAAGCCATAATCAGGCCAAGTTTGCAGAAAGACTGTAAAAGTATTTCTAATTGAGACACAGGGGTATTGATAATATTTTTCTTTTCCTCTCCACTTTCCAAATCAGTACATGACTTGTTCTTCCGATGGGTGTTACGATGTATTACATAAAAAATTAAATATCCGATAATAGATACAGTGAAAAAGCAAGCGGCTAGCTTCTGTATGAGAGTGAGAGGAGGCCGAGGTTGACAACAGGAACCATCTACAGGCTTCAAAATCTTATTGCAATACACGTTCATGAGAATCATTGCACTCTGTGAACAAATCAAGTTATTTGGTTATTATCTTGTCAGGAATGTATTTTGCATTAGATTTTCTCCTGTGAATACTACTGACTTTTCAGCACTGAAACCAGAATGCTTTTTACTTTTTGCTGCATTTCCCAAACTCTCATGCAAATAATGGTATTCCTTCAATCTGTAATAGCTAGTTCGGGGCTTTTCAAACTTCTTGGGCTATGATCTATAGTGAAAAATTCATTTTATAATATAACCCAGACACATATACGGGAAACAATGCCTATCCTTACTACTTGAAATACACTCTCACATTTTTCTATTCTATTCTATATACATTTTTAAATACTCATTTCATGACTTCTAGAGGTCTGTGGCCTTCAGTTAAAAAAATACTGACAGACGTGAAAGACCAAAGAATTTTAATTAGCAGACTTTCAATACAGAAGATACCAGGATACTTAAGACAGAGTCCCAGTCCTTAGGTATGAAAAAAGAAAACAAATGTAAAATAACTGCCACAAAAAACTAACTCTTAGCTAATAATATTTGTAGTATGTGTTTTATTTGGTGTACAGTTTATGGACTATTTAGGATTCTAGTTTTAATATTTCAATGTTAAATAAAATGTGGAATCTTCAACATGGTTTCATTGTAATAAAAATATTCTAGGCAGTTTACATTTCTGTACACCTGAAACTAATAATAAAAAACAAAACAAACAAAAAAATAAAATAAAAAATAAAAAATAAATTTTACTATTTAAAAAAATATATATTCTAGGCAAACTATCAAGGTTCTATCTAGTTGAAGGTTCAGTCAAATCGAGTTTTATAAAAACTTTATAGTCTAGGCATCTTTGGAACGCTAAGATGATTATATTACTTAAGCTAAAACATTCGAAGTGCTCAGCCTTTTAGAAAGTCTCATCTTTTTTAGCCCTGAGACTTCAGGAGGCTCTGTGCCTAGCACTCTTGCACATGCTAGTCTACAAACTCTATCCCAAGGTGCGTAACCAGTTCCAGGAGGTCCAAACAGCCCCTTAAAGTACATCAAGAAGCATGTGTGTAGATATACGAACATGCATTTTTTCTGTAGGAGACAAACAAAACTACTGCTTTTAATCAAACACTCAAGGTTAGGTGATCCTCAAAAAAGTTAAGAATCACTGCTTTATAAGAAAACAACTCTAAATAATAGCTGTTTGTACTATGTGTGAAAATTCATAATTATGCAGTTCTCCTTCACACTTAACCTAACATCCCTTTCCAGCTGTCAATATGGACTTTTTTTTCAGTATTTACTACGTACCTTAAATAATGGTACTTAGGGTATAAGAACTATAAAGGAATAATCAAAATTATTCTACATATTAAAAAAAATGTGCTCTTCACAGAAGCTTAATCTTGTAATTTTAAGGTGTAAGGCAAGAACATAAAGCAGTAATTTTCAAAAATGAAAACTTATAAGCTTCTTATGAGACAAAGTGTATTAAGAGCAACTAGCACTCAATAAATGAGGTTTCCTTTCCTCCTTTCCATCACTTATCTCTCAGAGTATACTAAAATTCTCACATATATTCAGCTCAGTGATGAAGGCAAAATTATTTCTAGATGTATGTTTACATAGAATAATTACAAGTAATCAAGATTGCAATAAAATAACATTTATAGTTAAGTTATAGCTATGATCAATTAGATATTATTGTCTCTACTGACAGATACAAGAATTCTTACAGTTTCTCTGCTTGATTCTGGAAGATGTAAGCCATCCAAAGATTCCATGATGGTTTCTTGAGCAATTAATTTGGAAACACTGAACATCTTAACATTTGATTTGGAATTTCTCGTGCTACTATTCAAAATACTGACTGCAGCTTCATTGTAGGCATCTATCTTCTCATTAGTGATCATTTTCCTATTTTCACTTAATAGATCTTCATAAACAGGATCTGCACATGAAACACATTATTAAAAACACATTTTAAAAAATCCCTATTGGTAGGAATTGTGGTCATACAAGTTAGTTGACTGCATTTCATTTTTTGTTGTTTAAGTTTAGAGGATTCCAGGCACCTAATAATTCATTTTTAAATAAAGCTGGCCAAGATTTGCAACAGATTTCCTATCTTATATTCAATTCTTGACTCAATCAATATCTCCCTCAAACTTAAACAACAACTTTTATCCCGCCTCTCTTAGGTACACAACTTTCAGGAAACATTTTTCTGTTCTAGCATGTCTTAAGAGTAAAATTTTTGGATGTTGGCTTATACTGGGGAACAGGAATTTAAAACTGGATGGTAGGAGACTGCCTAAGTAAAAATAGCAGCCAGTCTCTTTTTCCTTCTGTCACTGCTTAATTTTGCAAACTTTATTCACACAATTAAGAGGTAATATTATTGAGGATCAAGGTCTCTTATCATTTATCATAAATCATTTAAATTTAACTTTTTCTCATTTTGGTAAGAGAAAGGTTAACAATGAGTCTGTAAATAGAGACTGTGGAACAGATTATCACCAGCGCTTTTATTTCTCTCAACTTGACATTCAACTTGGAAATAATCATGAGTTTCTGACAAATAACTTGAACTGCTAAAAAACCCAAGGCATTTCATATTGTGCTAGGCATTAAATAACAGACACTCAATAAACTCCTGAAATGAGTTGATCTAATGTCAACTTTCTCTTAAAGAATTTTATTACCAAGCATAAACTTGATGGTATGAATTTAAATACATCCTGTCAATTCCAAAGGATATTTATTTCCAATGAATCTAATATTATAAAACAGACTTAATAATTTTTTTCCATACTTCCCAATCATAATAAATAAACTCTGTAAAAAACAAAAAATCACAGGTAAGCATCTCATTTGTTGTAAGAATGTATTCTGCAGCCCTTCTGTCTGCTGGGGCTCCTTGGAGGATATATTTATTTATTTATTATTTATTTTTTACTTATTATATTCATTAGTCTGTCTGTTCCTTAAATTCAAAAGGGAAAGAAAATAACTCAAATTTATTCTAATTTTGCAAGCCTTATTTCAAAATTTATTCTCATAAAGCAGTCATTTTACTTCTTGAAATAGGAGATAATAAAAACCCATGCCTCAAAAGATATACAAAATGACATTTTTTCATTACTCATTCCTTACCTTGTAAGACCCAATAAACATCACTAGTCTTCGCCAGTCTTTCTAGAAGCGGGGCTATGGAGGTGATGTTCGCTCTGTACTGGGAGAGCGCATCGCTGCTGCCATTGTGGATCTTGATAGACCACTAAGATGAAGCAAAGAGTAAGCATTAATTCAGGATCCATCACAGAAAAACTAAAGTATCTAACTTATTGTAACGAAGCTATTATTTAATTCCCATTTTTATTCAATGTTAGAATTATAGTCATATTATTTCATGTAATAAATAAAGATAGTTAGAAAAGGCTGGTATAAAATCAGACTTTCAATGTATAACATTCAAGAAGAAAGAATATAATTTTAGATATAAAATAATATTGACATTTAACACCAAATGTCCTGAGTTCATTGAGACCTTTTTATTACAATTCAGCAGTCTCATTAATTATAATAGAAATAGGAATTAAAATATAAGTACAATCAAGAATTCTATTTAACATAAGTTAACTTTTCCTTAGCATGTCTTTAAGTATGAACAAAAATCATTATGTAAGAATACAGATAATAACTCACTGTGGCAGCTCCTGCTACAATCACATGGGGCTTTGCAACAGAATCCTAAAGAAAGGAAAACCTTTATAATAGTGTTTTATCCAGTTCAGGGAATTAATGTAAGTAACATCACTTAATTTTTTTCTTAAATTTCAGTTCTTCTTCCTTCTAAATGTGTTTTAATTTTCTAGAGTTCCTTATTAAATTCTTATAACAAGATGGACAACCAATGCCTAAAAAAACCCTTACATGGTTACACGGTTACACATGATGGCATGAGCTCGTATGGTTGATTCTTTGTGTTCTTTTTTTTTTAACACTTACAGACTTTTTCTTTAAAGATTTTTATTGGGGAGTTGGGGGGATGGGAACAGACAGGTTGCTGTCCTTTTGTTCTTCAGTCTAGTTGTGGAGGACGTTGCTTCACTGGCTCAAGTTGGCGCCATCATTGCGCTCTTCCCGGGCGAGGCAGATCAGTCGCCGGCTTCTGGATGGCCGCTCCCTGCGGCTGCTGGCCGCTCACGCTGGCTGCTGGCTACACACGGTAGCCCATGGCAACCCACTGCCACAGGGGCTGCAGCCTACGCGGTCGCTGGTGACTTACAGCAGCCCAGCTCCAGGTTGAGCTGTTGTTCAGCATCTTAGCTGTGGAGGGCGGTGTCACTGGCCCTCATATGTAGGATCTGAACCGGGGCCCTCTGGTGTCCCAAGCCAGTTCTTAACCATCGTGCCACTCGGCCGGCCTAATACTTTGTGTTCTTTACAAAAACCATAAAAGCCAAAAACCACTATGGAAATCTAATATAGGCTAATATTCTGAATTGTGAGTAAACTGCTTAAGAGCAAACCGCTAGTATATTATGTGAGCCAATTTAAAAGTATTCATAGAATATACAGTTTATGTTAAATAAAATATAAGGTCAGTGCCCTAAAGAAACACAATCTTTTGGGAAAGTTAAGTCCAATATGTATTTAACAAAATTAACTGACAGTTACTATAGACCACAATGTGGAAAAAAAAATAAGGAGAAATTTGGTTGAAATCCTCATCAAATGCAAATTATATTCAGAACGGTTTATAGGGCATTGCTGAAACGCGACAGGACAAAGCCACAACTTAAGTCTTCTGGCTCCTGAGTTCAATATACCTTCCACAACACAGAAGACTTGATATTATAATCATGTACACAAGAAATAATTAAAAATAAGAATTAGAAAAACATCAGACCCACATGTAAAATTAAATTGAGGTAGTTAGTGTCTTATTATAAACGCAATACACAGAAAACTATGAAAGCAGAAAAAAAATAGCAAAATTAACCTATTTCCCTTCAGAGACATTTTCGTTTCCAGTATAGCACCCTTAGCCAGCCTTTCTGAGTCTGTATCCTTGTTTTATAAGATATGTATAATATCTTCCAGCCTATCTCACGGGTGGCAAGAATCTCTATTAAAATGAGCTCACTGAAGAAAAAGTACTTAGTGCTTCATTTTACATTGTTATTTTAGTGAAACTTTTTCCTCCTCCCGAGGCGGCTCCCTTACTCATTCTTCACAGTGGTTATCCCAAATATTAGTTTCATTATAGAGGTCCCTCTTGGCCACCTCCTCACTTGCCACATAAAGTCTAATTCTTCTCAAATTTCAAAGAGAAAACAGAATTCCTCTGGCTTGTGTGCTCTTGCTTTCCCTTCCTTCCTCATTCCTACAACTTCATCTCTACGTTCACCCAACCTATCTTTCTCTGACAAGCGAGTAAAGAAACTACGTCCCTATTCCTCCTAATGGCTAACCCGTTGTTCTATGTCTATATCCCCTCCCTTTTTTACTTCTGAGGCTATAACCATTATCTCCTTCAACACTCATATTATCAATGCCAACCCCCTTCTCCTCTCTTCTTCCTTCCCATAATCCACAAAGTGTTAAATCATCTTTATCCTCAAAAATATTCCTTTAACCTTGTCTCACTCTCAAATTCTTTCTGCTCACACTTTTAACCAACAGATTACATACATGGGAGAGCATTCTACCTTCACTATGCCAATTTCTCTCTCTCTCATTCATGCCTCAATTTATCACGTTTTGATTTGGGGCTTCACCATCCATTACAACTGCTCTTGGAATCCATTAATGAACTCTGATTGCTAAGTCCTATAGCTTCACTCTACCCTATCTAAGTCCTAAAGAGACACTACAGACTATCCACTTTTTAAAACTCTGTCTTTCCCTGTGTTACCTGACCGTTATTGTTCTCCCACGTTTTCCTCTTACCCCTTTAACCACCCCTTCTCAGGATCTTTTGGATAGTTCCATTCTTAAAATCTCTTCTTTATTCTTTAAACTCTCTGCGTATTCAATTTCTTCCATTCAAGTAACTTCAAATATCACCTCATTCCATATCAAGACTCTTCAAATCCATCTAAGTAGCTCAGACCTCTTAATGACTACCATTCACCTACAGATTTAAACCTAAATTGCTGGCATCTTTACAATGTAGTCTAATTTCCTACTACTACCGCACTATACCGCATCATTTTCCTGTTTAAGAGTTTCAATGGTTCTCCACTACCCTCAAGATAAATTCAACCCAATATCCTTATTTTTAGAAAATACACCTTGAATATTAAGAGTTAATCAGAAAATGGATAAAGTATATCTACACCCCCTCAAATGTAGCTTAGGATAGTATTCATAATCTAGTGTTTGCTTACCTCATCTCTAATCAACTCTCTCCCAAAAATAAAGCACATGATATTTAAAAGCAGAACTAAACAGAAATAAAGGAGCACTTTGAATTCTAGCTCTAGTAACATTAAAACTCCTGGTGATTCCCTGAATAGATTATATATACTCGTATCTTCGGCATCTTTGCATATGTTATTTCCTTTGCACAGGGTAACCCTCCTTTCTCACTCGACCCTCACCTTTAAGGCCACTTTATCTGAAAACTGGTTTTGCAAACTTTTAAAATTACATTTAGTGCCTATCCTCTGTAATGTTGTTGCACTCTATAATTCCCTTATTTTGGCACAACATTGCTCCTTTAATTACCTATATCTGCCACTCAACCAGAGGCTCTTTGAGGAACTCTATTTTAGTTAACCAGGATATTAACAGTGTCTAGCCTAGTGCCTGGATTTATAAATATCTGTTGACTAACACTTGAGTCAGCTAAATTCAACTCTGCTCATGTGCCTATAGATTTCTATAAGGTATATGATTATCTGAGTATCTTTCTGACCTATAGCTCTTTGGAAATATCTGCTCTCTAAAGATTTCTTAGATTATCACCTACACTCTAACCAACCCCCATCCTAAGTGCCTCCATCCATGGTGCCTCCATAGTCCTCTGTGCTCAATCTGTTGTTATGCTTCATCTTAGCAGATCATCATTCATCAAACAGTCAATACTGGGGGCAGGGGGCTGTCACTTTGTGAGGGATGAAAAGTATAACTATTGCATTGTTTTGTACACCTGAAACTAATAAAAAAAAAAAAAAGAAAGTCACTATCACTTAGTTTGGAAATTCTTCAAGGGCTAAGAGTGGGGCTAATTCCCAGCCATATTCATAATATCCAGCACAAAGCTAGCAATAGTATATAAATAAAAAATATGGATCTTTGTATTTTCAGGCTAGCAGCTTACAATGGAAACAGCAAAAAATAAATAAATAAATAAATATATATATATATATATATATATATATACTCTGAATAAATCAAATCAATCAACTAATCAATCTGAGGTAATTACACGGCCATCTACCTAAATAAGTTAAATCTTTCCTTTCTCCCAATAACCTTAAGGAGTTTTACAGCAGAATCTAATGCTCCAAAAACTAGTTTTAACAAATTACAAGAACTGAAAATCTGAATATAAAATATATCTCCAGGTTATTAAATAACTAATAAATAAAGGTTTTCTGTAAACTTGCAGGACTTATAAATTATATTGTACTGATGTTTAACTATGAACTTCTACTACATTAATGGATATAAATTCAGGTCCTACACACATATGAAAATATGTTTAAATCATTTAAAATGTACATATAACATTATTCTACATTTCTGGACATTTAAAAATATATCAATAAAAACAAAACACAGTTATGTGCGACTCCAATTTACCAGGAAGTTGAGTTCTAGAAGTTGTTTGCATGTTTGTTTTCTTTGAAAACTTAAATACATTTTCTCAAAGAAACAAAGTTAGAAATGTTGGCTAGGGGCCGGCCGAGTGGCTCAGTTGGTTAAGAGTTGGCTTAAGAGCGCGAGCTCTGAGCAACAGGGCCGCTGATTCGATTCCGACATGGGCCAGTGACACTGTGCCCGAGCTAAGCTGTTGCTGAGCTGCCAACAGGTGGCAGGGTGGCTCAGTTGGTGTAACAAGATTGCCTTTTCGATGGTGGGCTATGCCCACCTGCAACTAAAACTGAACTCGGCAACTTGAGCTGAGCTGCCGCCCGGATGGCTCAGTGGATAGGGAGTACGCTCTTAACAACAAAGCTGCCGGGTTCAACTCCCACATGGGATGGTGGCTAGGCCCACCCGCAACTAAGATTGAACACAACACCTTGAGCTTAGAAGCCATGAGCTCCCGACAGGAAGCCAGACGGCGACTGGCACTCTAAATAATGAAGACTGAAGAACAACAACTTGGCTGGTCCCCTCCCCCAACCCCCCAATAAAATCTTTAAAGAAAAAAAAAAAAAAGAAAGAAAAAGAAATGTGGGCTAGGTCCCCACCAGAGCCTACAAAAGCTTATTTGGTGTACGAAGTGGTTACAGTACTAAACATTTACCGTGAAAAGTTGCAAAGAAAAATACCATTGCAGCACAAGTAATCAAGCAAAATAAGGTCAACAAAACTGAATATTGTCATATCCATCCCAATGCAAGTCCCTCTGGGAAAGAACACACATTTAATTAAAAGAATGATGAGAAACTATGGAGACTACCAAGGAAATTCTAAAGTGAACTTATGGAAACTTAGGGGTTTTCTGATCTTAATAGCATGCTTGCCTTTATATGTAATTTGTTTCTGAACCTTATGAGCCAAACCATACCAGGCTCAACTTTTGGGTTGCAAATGTAATGATAGAAGGGAAGAAAACAGGCTATTAAAAAAAAAAAAAGTTCCCTGAAATACCTGTCATGAGTCTGAAGGACAAAGTGGCAAAACACTCAAGAGAATGTGTGTTTTGTCAGAAAGATTGCCTGGGCTTGAATTAACCAAGCTACAGCAGTGCAGATAATTTTAAGTCAGCAAAGTGTGGGGTAAGCACAATCGCCTTAGGGTTAGAATGCTGATAGCAGAGATGCTGGATCAGAACACTTCCTCTTCTCAGTAAAGTGATAGAATCAATCCAGCACAGCTTAGCTGCTATCAAAAAGGTATAAAATACAGAAGTGGAACAGGTGAGTAAGGGGGGGAAAAACAATGGATGTTCATGTGCTTCTAAAATTTGGTTGCGTAAAACCAGAAAGGCCTATATTTTCAAATACAGACCTCAGTCCACACCTTGATACACTGTTTCATAGAACCATTAACTTCTGGATGCCACAGAAAATCCTAAGAGAAATGTAAGAAAAGAAAAAGTCAAAGAAACGGTTATATCCACCTTTCAAAGTAAACATTAACATCTCTCTTACTGTACTTTTAAAAGTAAAACACCACCTGTCTATGACCTCTTCATCTCCCATCTCGATTTGGCAAGAGTTTCATAATAGTTGTCCTTGTATCCACTTTGTATCTAAACTATACTCCACATTTTAGTCAGAGTAATCTTTTAAAAATGTAAAATGTGATCTTGCCACCTCCCTGCTCAAGTATTCAAGGAATTTCAACTGCCCTCAGAATAAATTCAAGTCCTGAAAATTGCTAAGAAGGTGGGGCCTCTGCCCAGACATTCTGCCTTTTCTCTGGCCACCTTTCCCCTTGCTCTGAGGACCCTTTGGGTTCTCCTATAGTCCTGGAATGTTCTCTGTGCTCCTTTTCTTCATACTCTTCCTTCTGCCTAAAATGCTCATAAACTCTTTCACTGTTCTTACTAATCTCTGAGGCTTCAATGAAAATATCACTTCCTCAAGGAGGAGAACTACTTTCAGTTTCCTGATCTGTACATCCCCAATGCCCCGTTTTCCTTTTTGCCATCCTTATCACACATGTATTTGTATGTAGAAAACTACAATGTCCTGCAAGCTCCATTAAGTCTGGGATAGTTTTGTCTGGGTCCTCACTGTATTCCTGGTTATCTAGGAGAAGTCACCGTGACTGGGAATTCAGAAAATTCACATATATTCTTTTATGGACATTAATCCTGAACACACGCTGCTTTCAAATTAATGTACAAGATTATTTTTTCCTGGATAAAAATCTGAAAGACCAAATTTTCTATTTTATTACACAAAATAGTGTACACGAACATTTATTCAATTATTTTACTATTCTTATCTACTCTCAATACACTGAAATATATTTAGCAATGTACAAAGCATTAGCTGATCTGCAAATAAATTAACCAATGAATATAGTTTCGACACGATAACATTTAGCTTACTATTATATCAACTTACCACTTTCACTGATGCAATCTTGTCTTCAAAAGGAATGTTTTCATGCTGCCATAAGAAAGGAGATAACAGAGAAATACTAATGAAAACATTTTATGTAAATAATTCTCCCCTTAGTTGCTTTTGTTGATTTATTTATGCATATCTCAATTATCTACATTCAACCTGAAGGGGAAAAAGACCTGCATAGAATACCAAAAAGTAAGTGACACTAGTAAAATTGTTTATATGTGATTTTCAACACCTAAGGTGTAGTTCAAAGATAAAACCTCAACTACAAACAAGCAGATAGGTGAACATGTCTATATAAAAGATCCTTTTGCCAAGATTGCCAGGATTTCAATTTAGTCACAGTCTTATCTATGGCAGAGACGGATTGCTCTACTACGTTTCCTGAGTCCCGTCCAGTTAGCCCGGGCAACGTGACTAGTTCTGGCCGACATAATGTGGACAGGTGTCACGTTGGTTACTTCTGGGCTGAATTTCCCAAGGCAATTCTCTAGTCGCTAGCTTAACCTGGTGCAGGGACTGAAGAACTAAACGTTCCAATGGTACAGCTAGAAGACCACAGAAATTCCAACAGCAGGAATCCCTGAATGACTGTGTGGAGCAAAGCCTCTTGTCAACCCACCTAGGACAGGCAGTGCTAAGTGAGAAATGAACTTCTGTTTTGTTAAGATTCTAGAGTGCTTTGTTGCTGCGGGAATACCTAATCCATTCTCACCAACATATGGGTATAGGTCCTGTCTGAACAGCAATAGACATATATGATCCTAGGTTATTTTAGGTTTCACTTTGAAGTCAGTAGATCAACAGTCCAGTTGTAGAAAAAATTAAAATCTGGTTCCATGTAAACAACAGAAATCCTTTCAGTTAAAAACCCAGAGTAGGGTGGGGCTGGAAGCGGTCAATAAAGAGGCTAATTCTCTTTCTAAAGCCAAGGTTGAAATGTTTTCATTAATTTAAGCAGACAGATAGTATTTATTTTTATATCTCTGTGAAATAGAGTTTGCTTTTACCAACAACCTAACTTTTTAAATTCTTGTGAGTCCTGCTCCAGCATCATTTCCTGAAAGGGCTCTCAGGACCATTAATTCAATGGAACTTGAAGGTATGTTATATGAGAAGACTATCCTTGGTGAAATAAGTCTGGCAAACACTGGGTCAGACAAAATCACACAAGTCTTCTCTTCCTACCCCATCCCAACTTTGTTAAAATTCTCCCTCAAAGGAATAATAGGTCACGAATTTCCTTTTTCCTGCTTTTGCATAGCTTAGTTAATTCAACCTCTTGCTTATTTTCCTTTATTATTTTAATGTGACATTTGATATATACAAAATGTCACATATATGTAAGTCACAGAGCACAGTAAAAATATATTAGAACTCGTGAATCCATGGCACAAATCAGCACATTACCTACACAAGGAATGCCCTACGTGGACCTCTCCCTCTCTCAATTCCTTGCTTTACCTAAAGGAAACCACTATCTTGAATTTTGTTTATATATTTTTTTATTATATAGTTTTGTCACATGTATATGCACCCTTAAATAATACATTGTTTAGTTAGCTTTCTTTCCAACTTTTAATTTTGAAAATTTTCAAACTTACACCAAAGTTTGCAAAGTTGCAGAAATTATAATGACCAAACGCCCCCCTTTGGTTAAGCATACATCTCCTACAAACATGGACATTCTCTTACGTAACTGTAAGTTATGTAAGAATCCCTAAGAAATTTGACAGTGATAAAATATTATCTACTATACAGCCCATGTTCAAATTTCCCTAATTTCCTGATGTCTTCTCTATAGTTCTTATATTTTAATCTAGACTTCAACTAAAACCAGGTATTGCATTTAGTTGTTATGTCTCCATAGTCTCATTTAGTCTAGAACATTCCCTGGCCTTTTAATATGTAGATATTAAATATATATATATATATCAAATTATGATATCAATATATATCAAATATTATATTTATTATTTTCGTAGAGTCTAGGTCATTTGATACAATGCACCAAATCTAGATTATAAACAGAACTGTTGGTTACCTTCTTGGACATGTCTCTTACTATATGTGTAAGAGTTTCCCTAAATAGTTCTAAAGGTTAGCTATACAAATGTTCAACCTCACATGATAATGCAAATTATTTTCTGAACTGTTTGTAACAATTCATACTTTCGTTAACAGTTTATGAGATACAGTCTCTCTGCTACACCTTGTCAGACTTTATATTTTTGCCATTGTTAAATTTTAATTTCTGCCACTCAAGTAGGTATGGTCTTAATTTGCTAATTACTAATGAGGCTAGATTTCCCTGATTACTAATGAGATTAAATATCTTTCAGGTTTACACTGGGATTTATGTTTCCTCTTCTGTGAAATGCCTGGTCATGCCTTTCCTCTGTTTTCTGTTGGGTCATCATTTTTATTCATTTATTCATTCATCTCCTGGAAATATGTTACAAATATCTTCTCCCAGTTTATAGCTAGTCTTTTTTTCTTTTAGGTATCTATTGATGAACAGATACTCTTAATCTTAAGTATGTAAATTTATCTTTTATTGTATGGTATTTTTTGTTTCTTATGTAAGAAACTTTTCCCTACTTGAATGAAGATAGTCTCCTACATTTGTTTTCTAAAGGTTTCAAAGTTTTGGCTTCCACATTTAAGTCTAAATTCATTTAGAAATGATTTTACTTGGTGGTATAAGGTAGGGATCCAATTTCATTTTTTTCCATATACATAACCAGTTGCCTCATCATCATTAACTGAATAGATCTTCCTTTCCCCCAGGGATGTTCAGTGACATATCTATTACTTATTAAGTCTTTATATGTGCATGTGTCTATTTTAGAGTTCTATATTCTGTTCCATTTGTTTCTTTGTTTAGCTCTACCAATACCACAGTGTCTTAATTAATACAGAGTTTAAAACAAGTCTTGATATTGGAGAGCAAGTCCTTTCCACCTGGCTCTTCAGATCTGTCATGGTTTCTCTTGGTCCACCGCTCTTATAAAATTTCGAATCAACTGCTAAAGTTCCACAACAAATCCTATTAGGGTTTTATTTTAATTATGTTGAACCTATAGATCAATTTGGAAATAACTCACATCTTTACAATATTGAGTCTTCCCATTCCAGAATATACTATTAATATATATCTTCCATTTAATTTTATAATTTTAAATTGCCTTTGAAAAAAATTTTATATTTTTCAGCCTATAGATCTTCCACATTTGGTACATTTATTACTACATATTATATGGTTTTTGTTACTATTGCATACAGTATATTTTATATAGTGTTTGTAAAACTCTATATTCCTGGGATTTGTTATGAAATTAATTTGAACAGATTTATTGAGCTACTATAATGAATTTTTGTATGTTTATCTTATAATGAGCTATTAAAATTTTTATTACATCTAGTAAATTTTCTATAGATTCTCTGGGGTTTTCTATGTAGATAATTATGTCAGATGAAATCCTGAGTTTATGTCTTTGCAATCTTTACATCTTTAAATTATCTTTCTTTGGCTAAGGATCTCTAATACAATGTTGAACAGAAACAGAAAACACAAAAATCCTTGTCTTCTTCCTGAGTTGAAGGGAAATGTGTCTAATATTTCACCATGAAGAACATTTACTGTAGGCTGCTAGAATTCTTATCAGGTTAAGTTAGAATATAAAGGAACTTACCTAACAGAGAAACAATGATACCAATTCTCTGATATTTTCGGAACTTGCTTAATGGCCCAATATATGGTCAAAAAAGTTATATGTGTGCTTTGAAAAGAGATATTCTCTGAATTTTTAGTGTATTCTTTAAATATTGAGCTATAAATTTGTAAAATCAGCCTGTTAATAGTCTACTATGTATTTACTAATTGCTTATTCTATCATTAATTGCATGAGCAGTGTTCAGTTCTCCCACTATGATGGAAAACTTGTCAACTTCTCACTGTAATCATATTAATTTTTGCTTTATATTTTAAGGCTAATTTATTAAATGCCTACAAGTTTAAAACCTTAGTGATTTGAACTTTGCATCACTAAAAAGTATGTGTATCCTTGATAATGCTTTTTGTCTTAAAATTTATTTTAAGGTATATCTTTTTAAGTAGCAGAAATTTCTTTTAAAACCAATCTGATATGTGTCTAACTGACAATATGTACGGGTATGTATGTATGTGTTTGTATGTATAAAACACATTTGGTATTAGATGAGTTTAGTTTTGTTTCATTTTTTTTTTCTTCAGGTTTGGAATTTATACTTCCTAATTATATCCTTTTAATCCTTGTACTTGAAGTTTTACTATGCATCTTTAACTTAAGTTTTACGGTAAGATAACACCTTAAAGAGTAAAGAGGATATTAGAACATTTTAATTGTGACCATTCCCCTCTGACTTACATGCGATTATTGGCCAGTTCATTAGTACAGACTTGTTATAAAGTATAAACAAATATTTTATACAGGCACTATTTGTTTAGATTCAGACATGTTTATGGCTTTCTTTACTCATTGTTTGCTTCTTATATTTCAGATGACTTTTTTCTGACTTATATCCCTCCTTCCTGAAGTGTATCCTTTAGAAAAATCTTTTAGTATAAGTCTACGTGGCAATAAACCCTTACAGTTTTTGTTTATTTGAAAAAATGTCCTATATTTCAAGAATAGAGAAATTTCTATGCTAGGTATACAATTCTAGGTTGAAATGGACTTTCTCTCAGAACGTTAAAGCTATCATTCTACTGTCTTCTGGCTTCCAATATTACTACTAAGAAATGTGCTGCTCCAAAGCTTAGCTTTCTACCTACAGGGCATTACATTACTGGCATCTGTCTTCAGGGCAACCTGAATCTCCACAGCACGCCTACTGTTATTGTTTTCATCTCTGGTTTTGCCTCATAGTTTGTCCCTTTTCGGGGTGTCTCCCATTTCCTCAAGCTCTAGAAATACACCAACAAGTATTTTTTTTAAATCTAGGGTTTAGTTGGTTTGAGGTAGAAGAGGTCCCCAGAGTATCTAGTTTGCCCTCCAGCTGGAAGCAAAACATACAGGTTTCCTTACTGCAAGGCTTCTCAAGTTTTTAATATCCTAGCCTAAATTAAAACCACCAAAGAGGAGGATATGATATCCAGCTCTGCCCAAACTGACTTCACCAGAGCTTCTCACAGAATTAGTCTTGCACAAAATATAGTTTGAAAAAAGTCCTAAAGCTTCTTAAAAAAAAAAATTGCCTCAATACAGAAAAAAAAACAAATTCAAACACAGAATTATTTTAATATTCCTATTCCACCCAAACGAACCCATACAAAGGCAAAACAACCCCAAACAACATATATATCAGCTTCTATAATATGACAGGCTCTCCTAGGCACAAGAAATGTATTTTAAAATAAAACAAAACAATAATAATACACAATCTCTGTCCTCAGGTTGTTCCGAGACAGGAGAACAAGCTAAAACACAATTTGGCAAATGGCTCCACTAGCAGTTTGAACTCAATAGTTTCTCGATAACTGTTTAAGACTGTGACAAACTGTCTTTGTTTCCTTTTTAAATGCACATAAATTTAAATGTCTCCTGTTGGACAACCGCAGGATAACTGTGCACCTCTAGGAAATAAAGAAAAAGAAAAAGGAAACCTAGGTGTTATAACTAGGGCTCAGAAACAATGTGCCATATTGTACCTACTTTTGGCTGTAGAGAAAACCATTACAGTTTTTTTCAACTAACTGTTGCCAAATCCATTATTAAAACTGTTTCTTTGAAATCAGAAATTTACTTTTTAGAAGTTTACTAAAGTTTTTCTTTGAACTGTGATAATGCCATTAAATAGTTCCAACTTGTCTGTATAATTTTGTGTGTGTATAAATGCAAATGGAAACTATATTTATAGATACCAAATAAAATGAAAATCATTCAGCTTTAAAATCAATAGTAGCCTTTTCCAGTGGACAAAACATCTAATAGCCTAAGGCCTCCTCTCACAAGGAATAGCTCCTATGAATTTAGCATCCACTACCATCAACACTAGGCGCCTAGGTACTTAGTTGTGAAGTCACTAATTTTTTAACTCCTCACCACAGGGGAAGCTGATGTGGACAGGCAGATTTTCATCGTAAGCTCATGAGCTATGGTATTTCCCCTACAATTCTGAACTTTCTTGTACTTCACTTTTTTCTCCTTGCCATTCCTCACTCCCAATCACATGTAATTGAAGACAGGGATCACTTTAAAAATGGATAAATGGACGGATATGATGAGATAAATCACAAAAAAATTAATTTTTAATAAACAGAGATATGTTCATATTTGTGAATGTTTTCAAAGATATATATATTATATATGTATATATTTAGTTTTTGTATATATTATATAACATATATATATTTAGTTTTTGTTTATTCTCCTAGAAGAATGCTTATCTAGAAGATATATTTTTAAAATAAGAACTTGTCTGTAAAAAGAGCACATATTTGTTGTCGCATTGTTTTAATTATACAGCATGACTGCCCAGTGCCAGAAATGCTGCAGAAAACTAGGCCCTGATGTACACTGCTTAGAGTATAAACTGAAATAGTTTAGCAATATAATCAATAATTTTTAAAGTATTTATCTTCTTCAACCTAATATTTTCATTTTAGAGATTTCATCCTAAGGAAATAATTTAAAAGCAAAGTTTTCACACAAAGATGTAAATGAAAATGTCCTCTTTTAAACTGTAAAATAAAAAAAAAATTAGAAAACTACAAAAAGTTTAGAAAAGGGAGGGTTATATAAAATTACATTATATCCATTCAATATGTTGCCATTATGAAGATAAGTATGTTGATTATATAATAATATGGTGAATTAGGATAAGTGGTGGGGAAAGAAACAAGACATAAAATTATACATGCTAAAAACATTACAAAATATGTTTTCAAAAAAGAGACTGAAAACAAATACGGCAAATATTAAAAGGAGGATAAGGGATACTTCCTCTTTGTTTTCTTTCTAGGGAATTTTTAAGTTTTTCCATGGAAAGAGTTCATTATTTCTGAAAACTGAAGTTTAAGTTAATAAAAGGCTTGCCAATCAATACTTCCCCCCACCACCTTTGTTTTTATGTTCCCTATTAGAGCAAATCATCCCTTTTTCCTTCCACTTTTCTCAAAACCAAAGTAAAACTTTTTATAGTTTCCTGTATTAATGTGAAGAGGCACATTCCTCCTGAAAACATTCAGTTGGTTAATTTCTAAAATAATACCTTAATGAAGAAACCAGATAAATTTTACCTTATTTCCTTCTTCTTTGAATTGGGGATTAATTAGTTTTACAAAAGAATAAAACAATTGACGGATCCTGGAATCTCCAATAAATGCAATATGTTTATCTACAAGGCAGTTCTTTGCCTCACTGAAATCACAAAGAAACATTAATTAAAATAAGTAAAATCAGTATATTGGCATTTCAAAGCACATAGTTTGTGAAAAAAATTAGTACAGGATTGTTATACATACAGTTACACTGCTTTAAAAATAGGTGGCCATGTTTGTTCTACCTACCAGTCCCTGTAGGATCAACTAACTCTCAATAATAAGATGCCCCATTTATTAAGTGTTTAAGATATACTCTAACCATATTTGCTTTATACCCATTATTTCAGAATAAGTCCATGAGGTCACTATCCAAGATCCACAGCAGGAGCCCTTCACTCAAGGGCTATCCTTGGGCCTGCTTACATCTCATCTGACATAAAGCAGCTTGGCCAAAGCTCTTCCCCTAATGTTTTTGGGCAGGAATCATAATTTGGATTCACTTCTACCCCTACCCGCCTTCACCAATTCTCTACCATCATATAGAGAAGTATCAGACAATACTTTCTTTGCTTCATCAACCCCTCACCACTAGATATTACAATACATCCTAGAAAAAAAACCCCAAAAACACAATGAAGAAATCTCACCTGATTTTGTATTTATGCATCATACAACTATGAGGTTGCCAAACTTTCTCTCCAAGAAATCTGCCACTTGAAAGAAGGTATTCACATGAATCGTTGCCTATAACAGTTAAACACAACAGTGTTGTAAACAGTAGTTAAATTTTCATATGTTGGTTATCTGACTCCATGTAAACTCTTTGGGACAAGAAAGTACAAGTTTTCTATGCTTCACTATACCTTTTAGGTGCATATTACTCATTCATGAGAAACTCCATAAATATCAGTGCATTACAATTCAGTAGGATTAGAGCCACTAATGACAGTTCTCTTACCCTAGAAGACTCCTAACTCCTAAATGGTACATTCGCTGCTTTGGCAATTCCTTCTGCTTCAGGTTTTCTTTCTGGGGACATCATCTCAATCTCAAACAAGCCTTTATACCTGTGTATCACTCCTACCTCTAGTTGGGGAAGAAAAGTTTAAGAGACATAGGAGAAGACTTTGGAAATGCCTTTGTCTTATTCAGCTATTACAACATGTAGTATATTAGTGTATCTGGGAACCTAGATAATGTTGAAGTATTTTATATGCTTACTCCTATTTTCACAACTGCCCTGTGAGGAAGTATGTTATCTCGACTCTATAAATGTGTGAATACAGACTTATTCAAGAACCTCTTAAAAAGCTTAATAAAATTGCCTCCTTTTACAATCTTACAAAAATAAGACTTATAACTGTTAGCCACAAAGCAGCCGAAGATACACATGATCAATATCAGTAAAAAATGGGCAGATTTTAGTTATTAGTGTTCAGCCTCTCTCCTTTCTTTGATAGCTCTTGATATTCCTTTAGGATGGCCAAATGGTTCCAAGTTTGGCTGGGACTGTCACAGGTTTACATAGAAAGTTCCACATTTGGGAAACCTTCCCGTCCTGTGTAAACTGGAACAGGTGGTCACCCTTCTTCCTTTGGCCATGTTACTGTCCATTTGCTTAGATGAGTGAAGAAGTTAAAACGAGGGTTGGAATCATTAAAATAGTTCAAATACGTCAAATGGATGAGGGAAAAATGAGATGTTTAGATTAACCATGGGGTTATAATATATGTATTATTTAATTTAATCTCGAGTTCTTTATTAACATTCAACAGTACACTCTATTTGTTTTAAAATTGTTAAGGTCAGGACAGGGAGTTTGGTAAGTGAAATATTACAGAACAAATATTGTACTGAACCATTCAGGGTAGGGAGAGGAAGACCTAAAGATATTTAAAGTAGAAGACATCCCTTTTCTCAATTCAGTTATCTATTTATCTGGCCAACATACATATAAAAGGTGATACAGATGCAAGACAAGTATGCATCAACAGTGAAAATGTTACTTCAGTGTCATAAATTCGAAAATAGAACAGAAAAGTAACAATACTGCATTATTGTGTTGGTGGAAAACTCGATAAGGAAAGCAGAATATCAATCATTAAATTTTTGCGATTATGTATGTAGCCTGTGCAAGCTTTTTGTATTTTAAAGATTTTTTAATAACATCTCTTTAAGGAAACTATAAATAATCAGTTCTTAATTCTTTCCAATTATTGAAAACTAGTTCCTGTTCTAAAAAACAACATTAAGCTACATAAATAATCAAGGAGTAAAGAAAGACCTATAAGAGCATACCAATTGTTTTCTTAAAAACAGCACTCACGCTGCATTCTTTTATCATGACCATACAGGAATATCCTATTAATAAAAATCTAGTAAATGTTTAAAATTAGGATGAAACTTCTACATTATAGCATTTCTACCTCCTTAAATACATCTATGAAACCAAATGAAGTTAGTAACACATTTATTTTCTAAAAAAGTTATAAGAAGTTGCAAATAACTAGGTATTAATTCCTTGTTCTTCCTTTTCTTCTTTCTTTCTTTCTGCTTTCCTTTTTTAAAAAAAAGTTATTTGATTTTTGTTTTAAAATAGAAGCCTAAACAGAAACACACCTTAATCAATCTTAAGTGTGTGGGATTATGTTATTTATTAATCATCTATATGGGTTATCAATATGATTTTCTGAAGATGGAACGACCATGCCAATATCTTAAAATAACCAGTCTTTTCTCCACCAGAAAAGGTGTTTAAAAATGCAAAGTTCTTCGTTTCCTTCTTAATACTACTACTCACAAATTGTTTTTCAGTAGTTCAGCTAGTGGAAAACAACAGCTCTAATCTGATGAGCCCTAATTTAAAAAACCCCAGAGCAAAACAGATTTGAAGTTGTCACTAAGCAAAAACAACACTGTAAACTGGTCTTTCCAGCAAAGAAATTCTTAATTTGCTCATGAGTGCTTGTTGACGATGACTTCTTATTTTATGATGCAAAGTTGTTTTTTTTTAATAATCCTATATCTGAATTTAAGTCTCTGTATATCAGTTAAGGTCCTATTAGAAGACAAACTACCAGCTATTTTTATAGAGAGAATCTAATATAAAGAATCATTAGAAAAGTAAAAGAATTGCTAACCAAAATAGAAAAATAGAAGAAGAGATTGGCTTATTTATATTTGTCAGCAAAGTAATTAAAATAGTAGTAATAATAAATACTATTATAATCTGATTAAAAATAAATTAACCTGATCTAGAAAAGAAAACTCCACAAAATTCCAAACTCTAAAAGAAGTTCTCTTTTTCTGGGAAAGAAATATTTTTTGGATCAAATCACTAAATGTAAATCTAGATGTTAAAATAAGTTAATGTGCCACATTTTTATTACGTATACTAACTATATATAATATATGCTGAAACATGTTTTCCGTTCAAAATTTGCCCAGAAAAGCCCCAAACAGAAGAAAACAAACAAAAAAACCCCAGTCATTATATTCGATTGCCTCATATAATTTTGATAGCTATTTGAATACAACCAACATGAAAGTAATCAAGCTGTGCACGCGCGTGCACGCGCGCGTATACACACATACACACACACACACACACACACACACACACACACAGAGTAACTAAAGGAATAGAATTATTTACTTCAACTATCTCCAATACTAAGATTATCTAGATGAATGGCTGTCTTCCTCTTTATTGTTATCTTAAGCATAAGCATTCTGGTTTGTCAATCTAGTCTTAGGTTTTCATGCATGATTTTTCTATAATAGAAAGATACTAAAAGTAAACAAAAGAAGTAAAAAGACAAACAGGAAAAAAAAGCTGAAAAACAAAATGTAACAACTAAAGAAAACACCTGATGTGCTAAATAAAGTGTAGCTTTTATTTTCCTTTGAATACCTTTGGCACACTGGACCTTTAGACTGAATTATCCTACCAAAGCTGTTTCTTACTACCAACCAAGAAAATACCAGATCACAAAGTTTGCAATATAATCTACAGTATATTTTGTTTGCCTAAAATTCAGCAAGTTATACTTTAGTCTGTGGTTGAAAAAAAAATCACCATTTACATTTTTCTTTAGACAAGCTAGGAGTAATTACAAGTAATGTCATATAGATTAGGATTTTTCTAGCAGTCAAAGAAGGAAAAGCCCAAGAGACCTACAGCTTCTTTCTTGCTTTAATTTCTGAGGCTTTGAACTTACTTTTCTCCAAAACATTTGTACTTAACATTTGTATTTAATACACCTAATGACAGAATTAGATTTCAACAAAATTCAGGCATTTGAAGCAAGTTAACTTTATCAATTAAAAAATTAGAATATATCCAGATTGGAACTACCCTTAGGGCTATAGATATTGGCCTCTTTTCACAGAAATGTTTTCAATCTGTAATCACAGCATTAATGGACATTTTGTAATTCAGTAATGTTAAAGATTGATAAAACTTGAAAAAAAAAAGTTATAAAAATTACTTTTTAAATGTCATCTACTATATAATGTGAAAATAATATTAATAATGCAAATAAAAAACAAACCCTACTTTTTAAAGTCCAGATCAGAGCATGCTATTGGAACATGAAATTCAATTAAAAGCAAAAGAACCAAATGCTAGGAGGAAAACTGAAGAAAATAAGAACTTTAAAAATCTATTTATCCAATAATTGTGTATGGAGCTCCTACTGTGTGTTAAGCTCTGATGATTTAAAGATAAATAAAATACCCTTGAAAGCTCATAGTTTGTCTGGGGGAGAAAGATACAAATTATTATGATATAACATGGTACGTATGTACTAACTGCTGTAGAAACACTTAATTTCTAATTTCTACTTCTGTGGTGGTGACATTTGAACTAGGCCTTGAAGTGAAAATCTGTACTTTCTTTCCAGGAGAGAAAGGCCATTGCAGGCACAGAAAATCAGGTATTTGTGAGTTATGTAAAAGGGCAAAGCATATTTAGACTGTGTGCCTGGAGTTCAGGGAAAAGAAAAAAACCAAAAACACAGGTAATAAAAAATTAAATGGTCAGATTTTGAAGTTCTACACATGCAACTTTTAGAAAATCACTTCTCTGGAAAAAGAATAGGAAAACTCTTGGCTGGTACTGTGAGGTTGAATTAGTGTTTCTAAATGGTTGAATACATGTCCCTCTGGAAAATGCTTTCTCACTCCATCTTCTATACATCACCACCATGTGAGAAGCTCGGAGAAAGGCAGACTATAAAATAATTGTATGAGGCTGACTGGGTTCTCAATCCTACCTCAGTCACTGACTAATTTTGTGTCTTTAGGCAACTTAACCTCTAATGACTCATCTTTAAAATGTAAATAATACTGTAATTTGGTGAATCTAAAAGCATTGGTTATAACACATCACTATTTTATGTAACTATTTTATGGAAAAGTGTTATCAATTAAACTTTGACATGTAATGGAAGTTTTAAAAACTCATCCTGATTACAGAAATGCTAAAAATGGGGCAGGAGCGGAGGATGGAATATAGTACTTGTATCCACCTCATAGAATTGTTGTAAATACAAAGTGAATTAAAATGTGTAAAACCTTTAGTAGAACAGTACCTGGCATATAATGCGTTCAATGTTAGCATGTTGTGTTTGCTTTATTTTCTGCTGTGTGCAATTCTTTTACTTTCTGTGGTTTGTAAATAAAGCAAGAGATACTACACATATGTATTCAAATTGCATTCACTCTACCTTGCTTAAGGCATACTCAGAGCCACACATTGGGGATTTTAATATACAGCGAAAACTTCTATATCTAATATAAGAATATCCTTTCTTATTCTAAAGGTTTATGCTATTGTGATTCAAGTGTATAGTTATCAAGTGTATATTGCATCTGACTCAGTCTGACACTGCCAAAGCATAAGGATGGCTAAAAAGTTCCTAGTAAGATTAATTTTCCCAAACAGTTTCTGGCTCAAGTTCTTGACATTCAGTCTGGGCAAGTACACACACCAGGTGTACTGCTTCACACTCAAGGCACTGAAGCACCTAGGGAAGCTGATGACTAGCTTCTGGAGGAGGCTTTATAAACAACCCCAGATTGTTACACTGACTCATAAGGTTCCATCTGACATTCTATTTTCCCTGCTGATGGCAGATCTCGAAAGAATGACATAATCTAAATGTAATAATTAGTACCCAAGCTTATCAAAAGATAAAAGCACAATTAAAAGGAGAAATTAGATGTTTACCTTTAGGACTATGGCACCAAAGTTACACAAAATTGAGTTAGATTACTGTCTTTTTATACCAAACTAGCATGTGATTAACAGTAGTTACAAAATTTTCTTAAAAGTCACCAACTAATGCATCAACATTGCTAGTTTTGTTTTGCGTATGATTGTTACAGCAAGTGCAGATTAAGCAATGCCCTGCCAGATCATATGGCTGTGATCTATATGGGGCTGGAGGAGAAAGGCCTAAAGGTTTGTATCAAGAATTTATCTTTTGAAATCGGTTTACTGTGTTTATATAAAGAGCTATTCATCCAGTATGGCACCAGAGTATAAGATTTTTAATCCTCAAGTATTGGCAAAAACAAAGCAGCAAAATTGATCAAAATGTTCTACACTTTGAAAGATTTCCTGGGATGAGAAGAGAGCTCATATTCCAAAACCTCGTTTACTGGATATTTTGCCAAAGTGGGTGTGAAGTTAAATGGAAATTGCGTTAAATGCCCACCTGTCCATTTATTACACATTACATCTTGACCAATTAATCTCACAGTCACCAAAAGATGTCCTGATAATGGCTTCGATATTACTAAGAGCCAAAAATAAAAGATCATATCATTATTAATCTCCCTCAGCCTGTCACTCTCTCTCCTAGTGGCATTTTTTTTACACAGAAATTTTGTTTTCCAAAAATCAATCAACGAGGACAAGTAAATATATCCTTGATGATTGAATGATCATTTGTTCTGAAATAAGGTCATATTTCCTTTGCCCCTTTACACCAATTTCAAAACACACAGCGAAGGCCTCCTTTCAAAGCGCTTCCAACTTGCTTTCATTGCCCACCTCGACTCCTGTCAACCCCTAACTTCTTTTAACTTATCTGCCCCAGTGCCTTTACTTTGTAAAAAGCGTGCAGCCAGAACCCTTCAAACGTTTCACAAAGGCTGGGTGACACCTCCTCCATTTGGCCAAGGGCATCTTTGCCAGCGGTAGCCCCCGGTGGCAAAGGAACACAGGGCGGCTCTTGCCGCTGTCCAACAACAGCTGGCCCTGCCGTTACAGGGCAGAGGCCGGGCGACACCAAAGCTAGAGAGCTGGACCCCTCGGGCGCAGAATCGGCGACCCCACTCCTGACGCAGGTGCCCCGTTGCAGGGCAGCCTTTGCCTTCGTGCCTCCCGGCTTGGCCCCCAAGGGCCACCTGTCCGACCTCCTGCACGCGAGCCCCGGGCCTGGCGCGTCTCCCCCCACCCGGCCAGCTCTCGCTGGAACCGGGACCCCGGCAGCCCCTCCGGCCAGGCCCGGGTTGTCGTCCGCGGTCCCAGGGCAGGCGCTCGGGGGGCCTGGAATTTACGGGGCCTCGTCCGGTGGCGGCCCGCCCTGGGGTCCGCTCAGACCGCCGGGAGCGCCCGGCCCGCCGCTGGGGACACCTGGGGGCACGTGGGGGCGCCGCCTCCCCCGCGGGCCCGGCGCGCGGGCGGCCGCGTGAGCGTGGGCGTGTGTTGGACGCGGGGGGCGGCCTCCAGCCGCTGCGTCGCCTCCTCCCCCAGCCGGGGCAGGGGGAGGGCCCGCTCACCTCGGTAGCGGCGGGAGGCGAGGTGGCACACTGCGAGCAGCAGCACGGCCACCAGCGCCAGCACCTTGGCGCTCCTCACGCTGAAGTAGTGGTTGATCTCCCGCTTGCCCAGGTTGTAGGCCAGAGCCGCCATCTTGGTTCCTCCATGACAACAGTGCGCGGCGGAGCGGGGAAGGGGCGCCGCACAGGGGCAGCACTGGGGCTGCCGCCGCCGCAGCCAGGCGACGAGCCGCCGCCAGTCCCCGAGGTCGCCGCTCGCGCCTCCCGCCGGGGAGCCTGACCCCGCCGCCGCGGTGCCCCCGGCCTCCACCTGGCCCTCCTCGGCTCCAGCCGCCTCAGCAGCCTCCCCCCAACCCCTGCGCCGCTGCTCCGCCGTGCCGGTTCCAGAGGCGCCCTGGACGCCTGTCTCCTCCCCTTCCTCCTCCTCCCCTTTAGCCTCCTGCCTTAATAGCGGCTGCGCCTCCGAGGGGGGTCCGGATGCCCAGTGCTCCGGGGTCACGGGCCCCAGACGGCCCTCCGGAGCCACCGGGTCACGGGCGCCGGCGGGCGGCGGGGGCGGCCGCAGGGACATGGGGCTGTTAGGAAAGGACCCGGGATCCCAGCTGGCCCGACAGCGAGCCTCAGGGTTTTCTTCTGGCTTACTGGCCTCTACCTGAGCCTAGGTCGGGGCCATCGAACTACCGTTCCGGAAGAAAAGTACACATAGCTCCACTCCCTCCTTTTCTGAGCTTTCTCCTCCCTGAACCTGTTCATTGGGGTGCGAAGGCCACCCCGACGTCACCAGTGTTTATCTTTAGGCAATCTGGCCTGCCTGGCTGTCTCCATATGCTTGCCAGGTATTGAGACTGCTGGTAGCCCAAGCACCCAACCCACGGGTAAGACCTGTCTTAACTCTTAACTCGTCTTCTTGGCCCGTTTCTCTTGTAACTTTTTTTAAAGGACTCAATTTGCCCAGTTCCAGTGAGCAAAGAGACACCATAAAGAGTAGAAAAGATACAGAATGAGCCTAGCTTAGTATAAGTCTTGGTGAGAATGGAACCTCACTCTTTATTTGTATTTGCACAAGGGTTGGCTAGGTGGATGTGCCAAACATAAAAAAAAAGTGTGTTCATGACAATCATTCCTGTTCCTGAAGTTGGTTAAAGTTTTATGGTTATCAATAAAAGCCAGCACTCCTCCTTTATCGAGTGTTTGCTATCTATCCTTCGCCCTCCTTTTATTTAATTTTAATTTTTATATTTGGTCTCTCCTGTGCTGCTCTCCATGTGGGAATAGTCACTTACATTGCTTCCTTTTCTCCTTGCCTTGTTGAGAGTGAGTCATTGGGTAGTTGGGGTGTTTTCAAGCATTCTTTTCAACTTTCCCATTTAGCCGTTCCTGAACTCGTGTTTATAGGCCCCTCTTAAAATTATAGAATGTTAGACATGAAGGGACAATAGAGATCTTGTGATCTCAGTTCTTTTCATTCAAGGACTCTTTTTATTATGTTTTCATCCACAGACCTCATATCTTGAAAGATTTTGTCACTTAAATGAAATCACATACATCACTGTCAGGGATGTAATGCTAATAAGCAATAAAGTTAAATAAGTGTACAAACACTAGGCACTGTTCCCTGGAAATGCCCGCTTAATTTCAGCTGTCACTCTTCTAATCCAAGGTTGATCACATGCTTGCTAGAAGAATTAAATCAGATATTGTAAAAACCGGATAAATAACTCTGCTAACAATATATGTTCCACCAATCACATCCTAGAAATTTCTATGATGTCGTCAACAGCAAATTAGAATTTCTGATCAGTGTGCAATAACCAGAGTTGATTTAATGCCTGCCAAAAGTAAAGAAACTTGACATTTTACTTAATTGCAATTTCCAGAAGGCTTTCTGAAATATTGTAAATAGTTTGTGGACCTCTTTCTTTCTTCTGTCTAGTTTAAAGTTAATCTCCCACCTCTGCTCTGAATCTCTTGCAGTCCCCCTTTCTTGGAGATGTTGATGACTTCATCAGTTGTCAGTCATCCACCCTCTGTGTCTTCTTGAATCTCTCCCTCTCTCCTAGGTGTTTCTTTTCCACCAATAAGTTTCTCTTTTTAGTGAAACACATCCATGAATTCTGTGTTCCTGTGTATTTACCTTGCTGTCTCTCTTTCCTTCTCTGACAAATTTCTAGAAAGAGTAGTGTTGACTTTGTTGTGTCCACTTGCTCCACTCCCGTTCTTCCTTCTAAATAAGTCAAATATGTTGCCTCCTTTCCATCCCCTTGCTGTTGCCTTGATTAAGTAATGTTTTCTTGCCTGAATTTCTCATCCTTTAAACTCATCTTCCTCAGGTCTGACTCAAAAATCTAGTCTTACTGCCTCTGATCAGACATACCTCTGATCAGACTGAACTTTCTTCTGCTCAAATCTGGATGATGCTAACAACTAGTTAGTGGCTCCAAGCTTATTTGCCCACCACCCCTAAACTGTCCAGAATGTTTACTGATGCTCATAAGTTTCCTGCATCCTCCTAATGGGATAAAAAGATAAACCATCTGATAGGAACCCTTTCAATGTGCATAAAAACAAAACAAAAAACTACCACACTTTATCCTTTCCCTTCATTTTTTTTTTCAACCAAATATTTATTTCCCATTGTACTACAGGAGGTCATGGAGATTAAGAGGACAGGAAAAGGAAACTAAAATGGAGCAGCCAGCGCAATAGGAGAAGCACAGTTTTGAGGTGAGAATCTTTTGATATAAACTGTTCCTGCCCCACTGTGTCCGTTCATTACTGTTTATACTGATGTGATTTTGTTCAGTGAAGTATAATTAACATGTAACATTATATTAGTTTTAGGTGTACAATGTAATGATATATATTGCACAGTGATCGCCACTGTAAGTCTAGTTAACATCCATCACCGTACATAGTTACAATTTTTTTTGTCTTGTGATGAGAACTTTTAAGACCTACTCTCTTAGCAACTTTGAAATATGCAATACAGTATTATTAACTATAGTTCCCTTCTGACTTGAAAAATTCCTCCTCCCCTTTCCCAAATCTATCTCTTTTACCTACTTCCTTGATTGTAGCAATACCAGTTTATTTGAGCACCTGGTCCCATATGTTTCCTTCTTTATCTCTACCTTCAGTTTATCCCTCTTCGCTATTTGCTCTACATATAAACCCAAATGCCTCCTATTTAAAGCACCTTCCTTAATTCAATACATAATCTCTCTTCTCCCTTAACTGTCAAACTTCCTGAAGGAACAGTCTATGGTTACTGTTCCCATTTTTTCCCCCAACTACTCACTGGTTCTTTAAACACTTGAAAACTGACTTCTGCTCCTTAATTACTGAAACCACTCTCTGAAATGTCCACCACACCCTACATTACCAATCCAATGTCTTTAGTTTAGCTTTACCCTTCTTAACTGTGCAGCATAGTTGAAATATTTGCTTTCTGAAAATCTTCTGTTTATGGCTTCCATGCCACTACATCCTTCTGGCTCTCTCCTTTCCCTTTCCCATGCATCTCTAAGAAGAGTCCTCTTGCTTTTTCAAACCCCTTCTATGAAAGTGCCTTTTAGAGTTCTCTCATTTGCCTGCTTTTCTTCCTGGGAAACCTACATTATGAGCTGGTTTTAATTACACACTGTCTCCATGCATGTAACCTGGATCCGTCTTCACGTGCTCCACACCTTTCACATATCTCAAGGACAGCTTCACTGAGTATGTATCTCATGGTACCTCAGACTCAATATGTTGGGAACCAGTTTTATTTTCCTTCCAGATACATTATCCTCTTATGTTTACCATTTACTTCATTGAAACTACTATCCTTCAAGTCATTCCTGCTAATCTTTGACTTATCTTTTTTCTGCTATTTCTAAAATGTGGGTTTTCAATGGGGGTTGGGGGGGGGGCGGTGTTCCCAAGATGAGCTATTGGATAATCAGAACAAAGTACTAAAACTTCTCTTTATAGTTAATTCCTGTTAAAAAATGATTAAATAAAACAATTCAGGTGATACAAACAAACTTTATTTAATACTTTATGAAGTGGATAGTCTCCTTTTGGAGAACTGCAAAATAGATGGAAGGATAAAGAACCAAGAACAAGGAAGAGAAAAATAGCAACTATCTGATCAACTGGGACCACATAGTCTACCTTGTTTGTGATAAGAAGAAGCAGGGGAGCAAGTATAGAGCCCAGAGTTGGCTTGATGTTTGGGGATTGACTGACTGGATATACTGCATTTCTGGTTATGTGGAGCATTTTCAGGGACAGGAATGTTATCTAAATTTCAGTTTGCTGATGTGGCACCCCTGGGGCATGAGTAGCTTCACCTTGGACCTAGAAAGTTATTTCAACAGTCCTAACTACAATAAAATAAGGGCTCCATTAATATTTCATATAAGGACTTCCCCTGGTGCTTTGATTTGGTCTGTATGTAGAGTCGTGTCAAGTACACTTGGAGAGGAATCCTGAGGGGAGAGCACATTGTGTCTATGAATCTAGGGATTCACAGATTATGTTACCTACTTTCACTTAAACTCACAAAATGGAAAGTGGCTTTATTTTTATTTTTTAAAGATTTTATTGGGGAATTGAGGGAGGGGAACAGCGCTGGGGACTTAGGGGAAGGGGAACAGACAAGTTGCTGTTCTTTTGCTCTTCAGTATAATTGTGGAGGACGTTGCTTCACTGGCCCATGTTGGTATTATCATTGCGCTCTTCCTGGGTGAGGCAGATTGGTCGCCGGCCTCTGGACAGCTGCTCACGGTGGCTCTTGGCAGCTCACACCGGCTGCCGGCCGCTCACGCTGGCTGCTGGCCACACACGGTAGTTTATGGCAGCCCATTGCAGCAGGGGCTGCAGCCTACGCCGTCGCCGGCGACTCATGGCAGCCCAGCTCCAGGTCAAGTTGTTGTTCACCATCTTAGCTGTAGAGCACAGTGTCACTGTGTCACTGGCCCTCATGTGGGATCCAAACTGGGGCCCTGCTGCTCAGAGCTGGCGTCCCAAGCCAGCTCTTAACCAATGCACCACTCGGCCAGCCCTGGATAGTGACTTTAAAAATTCCTATGAGAATGTGAATTGAAGATATTTCTGATCATACAAGCACTAGCAAAAACGAAGAATATACAGAATGGAATCTCCTACTCTTCATTCAAGCTCTTCATAAGCTACATTACATAGTTAAAAGAAGTATGTGTGTGTATATATATGATATATCTATATCATATGTATCATATATAAACACAGATTATATACATGACAAACATATATGGACAACTTAAATCTGCAAGAAATCAGAAAAAAAAATGGAAATTTTCAAGGTTGTTTGACACGAGAATTTACATCCACTCATTGTAAACCATGGACCTTGCTCTAAGTATATAGTACTTTTGAGATGAGAGTTACTACTGATACAAAGCCATCAAAATTAACAAGATATTTAAAAATTAAGCATCCAAACATGAATTAAACCTCTCTCTGTGAGAGGAAAAAATTTTGTGAGCATGTATGAATGTTTCAAATTACATGTATTATATTAGTTCATTAGTAGAGCAGTACATATTTTATAACTAAATAAATATATGCATGAGTTGTAGGGGTGCATGCTCAAA